ACCTCCGGTAAGTGGTGGCTTACAGCAGGGTGGCTACTGCTGGGAGCTTTCGGGGGACCCCAGGGGATGCCGTACCCCTTCCCAGGACTCAGCCAGGACCCCCAGAGCCTAAACCCCAGACTTAGGTAGCCAGAGACCAACTTTGCAGTTACCCCCCTGTCCCTGTCCCCTTCTCCATCCACCGGGGCTGGAGCCTTGGGGTAGGGAGGGACCGGGGGGGGCTCCAACACCGGGACCCCCTGCTCCTTTCCACCCCTGCGGAGCTTGGTGGTCTCCACTAAACGGGTCAAAACTCCCCAATTTGTTATCTGGGGGATGCATGCATGTGTAACCTCGCAAAGCCACAAACCTGGCCATCCCCATCACCCCAGCTCTTGGCTGTGTTAGTGCTGGAGGGTGGGAGTTCTGTGGGGTGCAGCTGCGGGGGCTGCAGCCTGCCCTTCGGTGCTGTTCCCAGCAGGAGGGGAGGGGGCAGCTCGGCCGCCTGGGTCTGCTCCCCAGCTCGACTCACTGGTGTTGGGTGACCCAGGGGCAAGAGATAGGAATTTCACTCCATCTCAGGAAAGGCAGCCAGAGGGTAACCGGGGGTCAGGGCATGCTTGTAAAGGGGTTCAGTTCATCGTCACCCCCTCTGGGGATGGGCTCCAAGACCCCATATATCCCCTCAGCTGGGATGGGAAGCCCAGGGGCAGATGAGCCTCTGCTTACCTGGGAGGGTAGTGCAGGCTTGGGGGACCCTGCTGTGCCAACAGAGGCAGAACAGGCTGGGCCTGCTGCCAGCCTGCTGGCTGCCCATTTGTGTGCTGAGTTCCCCAGTGCTCAGCCTGACGATGCCTGTGCAATGACTGGGGGGTTCACGAAGCTTTCTTGGGGGGTGTTTCAGCCCCTGCTCGGGTGGCAGGTGCCTAAAGTGAGGGGTTACAGCGCAGGGAGGGGAGGAGGACAAAAGCCAGGCATGACTGGGAGCATCCTGCTGGCTCGGCTCCTCTCGGCTGGCTGCCTCCAGTGCGGAAAGAGCCCCTTGTCTGCGGGATCAGCCGCTCCACTGCGCTTGTTTGGATGGTGACGGAAGAAAAAAGGGCTCGTGACTCTTGCAAAATGATGGGGAAAGGAAAGGGGCGCCTGGCTCGAGAACAGCTTTCCAAGAGGAACAGAGTACAAACCATCTGAGCTATGATGGTGTGGAACAGCTTGTCCAGCCCCCTGCCAGCCCCACAGTTCCCTGGGCTGTGGGGGGGGTCACAGCAGGCTGGACTCTGCCCCCCCGATGTTCCAGGGAAAAAGGATGAAACCTGGCAGGTCTGGGGCAGCAGCTCCATCCCACCGGAGGATGTTCAGCATTTTGGGGTGGGAGTTGGTTGAGGAGCCTGGCAGGAGCTGGGGACCCCCAGGATGGGAAGGATGTGGCTGCGGGGCTGGGGGTGAGAGCGGCTGGGACTGACCCTCCCCTGCACATCACACTGCACTGCACTCAGGGCAAGCCAGCTAGGAGCCAGAGGGGTGGGAGATGCTCACTGCACTGATAACACACATCCTCCCTCCTCGCAGGTCAGGATGGCTCCTAGAATCTAGCCAGGGAGGCCAGAGCAGTGCCAGAGGTCCCTGTCCAAGTGATGGTGGAACTGGGATAGAGGAGCTGCTGCGAGGATGTCTGAAGCCAAAACTCTGAGCTCCTCTTGCCTTGTGCTTTCCTTGCTCTCCTTGCTCTGGGCTTTGCTCCAGCTGGGCCAGGCTTTTCCCAGCACCTCCGACTACCTCCAGCGGGGCTGGCAGCGGCTGCTGGAGGAAGGGGAGGGCTGCGCCGAGTGCCGGCCAGAGGAGTGCCCGGCGCCACGCGGGTGCCTGGCTGGCACGGTGCGGGATGCCTGCGACTGCTGCTGGGAGTGTGCCAACCTGGAGGGACAGATCTGCGATCTGGACAACACCAACCACTTCTACGGCAAGTGTGGGGAACACCTGGAGTGCCGGCTGGATGCCGGGGACCTGCAGCATGGAGAGGTGCCTGAGCCCCAATGCGCCTGCCTCTCCCGCCTGGCCCTCTGTGGCTCCGACGGCAAAACCTACGCCCAGATCTGCAGGTTCCTGGAGGTCGCCCGTGCCCACCCCGACGCCAACCTCACCGTGGCCCACGAGGGTCCCTGCGAGTCAGGTAGTGCCCCAGGAGCGGTTTTGTGGGCAGCATGACAGAGGCTTGTACCTCTCGGGAAGGGACAAGCGAGGGGGGATCTTGCTTAACTGTTTCACCTGACAGCAAACCCACGGTGTCCACAGGGGCACGGCAGCGCTGGGGGCTGCACCATAGAGTGGCAGGTCCCCCCTGTTCCCCTCACTCTGCCGCTCTGGGGCAGTCCCTGCGGATCTAGCACCTGGAGACGTCTGGGAGCAGCTTTGCCAAATGGGAGCAGGGTTTATGGGAAGCGGCAAATCCTGCTGGAGCAGATGGGGAAGTTCCAGGGAATTGTTAGCGAATTCTTGGCGGCGGCGCTGGGTTCACGCTGGCCCGGCGCTCCCGAGAAATGTGGCTGCCTCCTGCAAATGGAAACCTCGGTCAATTTGACTTGGCTGCGTGATTTCCATTTCCCGTTTAAAACTGGGGAGGGGGCTGGGGGGGCAGGCAGTGGTGGGGAGACCATGGCCCAGCCTGACCAGTCCACACAGGGTGCCCAGTCCTGTCACCACAGCCAAGAGGCCCATCAAGGTTGACTTTATTTTCTGTAGATCGTCATGTCCTTGACTTTATATTTGGAGGTGGAGGCCTTCCCTTGACCTCTGGCTCATGCTATGGGCCAGATCCTGGGCCAGATCCTGGAGCAGGTGTGGGTAGGAAGGGTGGTCCTCATTCTATCACTGTAGGGAAGGGATGTGGGACCTGGAGGTATTTGCTCCGTACAGCATCTGGGGACCTGCTCACTCCCTTAATCACTGGCACGAGCCCGGTGCCAGACCAGAGACCTCGTTCAGCTGGAAGGTCATCCACCTCATCCATCCCCACCAGCCTCAGGCTGGAGAAGAGCTCCTTGGCCTTTGTCCTGCAGGAGGAGCGTGCTCTGATTGTGCAGGAGAGCTTTGCTTTGTAATGTTGCTGTTATTGAACTGTTCCCTGCTGCTCGTGTGTCTCTGAGCATTGCTGCGCAGGTGGGGAAAGCGAGGCCAGGAGGGATGGCAATCCCCCATGGGCTGGGGGGGCTGCAGAGGGAGTCCCCAGTCCCAGCTGTGAGGAGGCATCATGTCCTGGGGCAAAGTGAGGGTCTGCCCTGAGTGAAAGAGGAGAGGGGCATGGGAAGGGGCCCAGCATCTCTACACAAGCCAAATGCTTCCACCCTGGATGGGACCAGCCCAGGAGAGTCCATGGGACCTGCTGAGGGTGGTACTTCTGAGCCCACCCAGCTCTCCTGTCCCCCTCCCCAGAGCCCCAGATCACCTCTCCTCCCTACGACACGTGGAACATCACTGGGCAGGATGTCATCTTTGGCTGTGAGGTCTTCGCCTACCCCATGGCATCCATTGAGTGGAGGAAGGACGGCACAGAGATGATGCTGCCTGGAGATGACCCCCACATCTCTGTCCAGGTGAGTGGTGCACCTAGGACATTGGACATGGCCTCAGGGTGACCCAGTCCTTCCCAGAGCTTGTGGGCAACCAGACCTGAGGGTAGTCATTCTCTGTGAGTGGCCAAGCCTGGCTGCCTGGGGATGAGAAGGGGTGACTGGAGCCTGCACACCATGAGGACTAGCTGAGCAGGAGCTGGTGTCTCAGTGGTAGGAGCCATCATCGTAGCTCTCTTCTGCAATTTTCTCTGGTGGTTTTTGAATGTATGAATATTTTTTAGGACCTGCAGAGTCCCACAGCAGGGGGTTTTCCCACCTCCCTGCCTTTAGTTTGCTTTGCCTGCTGGTTTCACTCATGATCCCACTGGCAGAGTTGGAGAGAAGACCTCCTAAGGTGCCTTCCAGCCTGAGTTGTTCTCTGCTCCCACCAGCAGACCCAGGCAGTCCCTGCCCTTTTCTGCCTGTTGCTGCAAGCAGGACTCCCCTCCCAGTGCTGGCAGGACCAGGGGTCAGCATCTCGCCCATGGCCAGCCCCAAATATAGCGCCCAGCCAGGCGTACCCAGCTATTAGAGGTTGTGGGCAGAGGTACAGGAGCTGTGCACCACAGCCAGGCGCTGGCGGGGAGGAAACCTTTGCGGGATGGATGGGGGAAGCCAGGGGAACAGGTGGGAGCTGGCACCATTGCAGGGTGAGGTGCTGGTCCCCCTCCATATTTCTGACCTTCACGGTGCCCCATATTCTGTCACAGGGTCCAGCCAAGGACCTTCACGCCAAGCAGGGCCACTCTGCCTGCCTGGAGGAGACTCAGCAGTCCTCCGCCCCTGGCCACTGCACCATAATAGCAGCCTGCAAACACAGCTGCAGACCAGCTGGGTCAGGAAAAGGCTATTTCTTGCTGGGGACAAAAAGAAAATAGCATGGCTGGCGCCAGAGCAGTCCTGGGGCCTCATGGCCTGCCGACACAGGGGACTTGGAGCTCCTCTGAGCCATCCCAGGCTGGCTGTCCCCATGGCACAGGTACCCCCTTGCTTCTGCCATGCTGAAAATTACCAAACCCAGCATCCTCCTGGCATTTGGGGACCAAGGTGGCACTGGGGGCACAGCTGGGAGTCCAGGACACGTCTGCAGCATCCTGCCCAAAGCAGGGCTCCCAGGCCTTTCTGAGGGCAAGAAGATGCCCATTCTCTCCACCTCTCCTTAGTAGTGGGAAAAGGGGGCACCTGCATCCAGGGGGTCTGTGCCTGCCCCCAGAGTGGTACTTAGCTGGGGGGGGAGATTTTCCCTGGGCTTGTGTTCCCCTTCCCATCCATCCCAGCCCCATGTGGGGCTTTCCTGGCCCCAGCACTAACCAAAATCACTCCCTCTTGCAGTTCAGAGGTGGCCCCCAGAAATACGAAGTGACAGGCTGGCTCCAGATCCAGGGTGTACGGGTGACAGACGAAGGCACCTACCGCTGCTTTGCCAGGAACAAGGTTGGGGAGGTGGTGGCTTTAGCCAGCCTGACCGTCTTCACGCCGGGTGAGCAAGGTGTCCTTGTCCCTACACTGTCAGGGGGACAAGGGAAGGGATGTTTGGGCAGGGTGGGAGCTGCCTGTGCATAGGGCTGTGCTGGGGATGCCCCAGCAAGCTGCCATGCATGGTTTGGCTTTGGTCCTGGTGGGTAAGGGGGCAGGCACCAAGAAGGGCAATGCCACATTGTCCCCACACTGCCATTTCAGATCAGCTCAACTTGACAGGCTTTTCGCTGCCGAAGCCCCGCACGACGCCTGAGGACTACGGGGAGAGCGAGGAGGACTATTACTAGCCCAGAGACGGGATGTCCGGCTGTGATCACCTTGCCTGTGGTGGCTGTTCCCTGCGTTCGGGGACATCTCCACAGCAAGCATGCCCCAGCCCAAAACTTCTCTGAACAGTCCTAGCACAGCAGCATCTTTTTTTGGGGTGGGGGACAGGGTGACACATCCCTCTGCTGGGGTTGCTCAGGGAGGGTACACTGGCTGATTGGTGGTGCAGGGCTGGGACTGGGGGCAGTGTGGGTCTGTCCTCTGGGCACCAAGTGGGGAGACCCATGCTGTGTGTGACATGGACTTGGTGCTGAGGGTGGAGGCAGCCCTCCCCAGGAGAGGGACACCAGGGCAGGGTCATCTCTGCCCCGTGTGAAGCATTTTGGGGAAGCCAGAGCAGAGGTCTGGGACCCAGCCGTGACACCCAATGTGTCCCCCCTGGGGCCAATCTGCGTTCCCTGAGCGCTGGGACAGTCAGGCTTCTCCCTGGGACCCGGGGAACCTGCTACCAAAACATCCTTCTCTACCATTTAATTTTTAACCAGAAAAGTAGTGATTTGAGGAAACCAGACTCTTGTGTTTTTCAGTGCTGTCTTTTTCTCCAGCCCAACCTCTCATGTGGTCAGAAACACTTTGGCCTTCTCTGACTGACTTTGCTTTCCCTTCCACGCAGCTCTTTACTTTGCCGTTCCAGTTAATGTTAGTTAAAATATACACGTGGGTCAAAGCCAACACGGACCAGGCAACTGTCCTTTATCCACAAGGATTATTCTTGGGGTGAGGGAGGGTGCAAACACTACGAGTGCTGCCTTGTCCTTTGCAGTGACGCTTGGGTTGAGGAGCCCTCCTATGGCTCACAGCTGGTCCTGGTGTGGGTCTTGCCCTTCTCACCCTGCATGGGGATGGGGGTACCCAGCACACCATCCCCTGTGCAGTGGGAATGCATCAAGCTGGCTCTTTGCACCCCCATTGGTTCAGGCCCTACCCCACCTCTGCCTATCCTCATCCTGTGCTCCTGTGCCCCGTGGGTGGCACTGGGGATCTTCACGGAGGTGACCATAGCCCTGCCAACATGGAGGGAGCGGAGCAGCTCTGTGCCTGGCTTGGGAAGGGCAGGGAGGCTCCCGTTTCCACTGGAAATGCTCCATTTTTAAAGAAAACCTATCTGCCTCCTGGTGATTTAAAGCAAATTCATTTTAGGGGAAGGTGGGAAAGGTGGCAGGACCCAGGGCTGAGCTCACTCTCACGGAGTGCTTTGCCCCCTGCGAACCAGCAGCATTTTGAGGACTTTTGAGACTCGAAACCTCCTTGTGGACCAAACCGTTCCTGGTTCCTCAGCCTCAGCTCCAGGGAGGTCCAGAGCTGCGGCAAGGAGCCAGACCCGGGGAGGAAGGAGCTGGCTTGGCTTGTCCCCAGGCAGGAGTGGGCAGGATGCGATGAGGCTGGTGGCTCAGGCGCCGTGCTGCTCTCCTTCCCCCTTTTCCCCCCCACCCCCCCTGTTCTTTTCTTCCTCTTTCTCTCGAGAGCTGGCTCAGACGATGCAATTATGGCATCGAAACCTGAACAAGAAAATAAAAGGGATTTGTCTGGAGTTGGCAGCGGAGCAAAATTCCTGCAGCCGGTGAGGCTGGGCCAGCCCTGGCCCCTGCGCCGCAGCCTGACGGGGGACAGCCGGCAGAGCTGCCACCCTGCCTGCCTGCCTGCTGCGCTGCCTGTCATCTCTGGCAGCAAACCCCTCCTTGGCTGGGGAAGTGCAAAAGCCACCCTCAGTTTCTCCTTCCATCTAACAGTGTAATAGCATCCTCCTGGGGCTGCTACATCAGCAGGAGGGTTTTGGGAGAGACCACAGACAGAAACATGCCATTCACTTTTATTTTGTTGGGTCTTTTGGGGGGGGAGTGCAAAACCTGCTTTTGAAGAAGCTGGGGTGTTTTCACCCATCCTGATCCCCTCCTTGTTTCGCACACAAATGGGCTGGTGGAACTGGGCCACGCTCAGGCTGAGGCTGCCACGGGGAAACCTGAGAGTGCCCCGGCGCTTCAGCAGTTGAGAGCCACTCGCTGGGCTCCCCGCCGGTGCCTGGGGCTGGCCCCCAGCCAGGGCTGCCATGCCAACCCTCCCCAGGGCCAGGCTCCCCCTGTCCGCTCTGCTCATGCCGGCACGAATTCAGGTCCCACTGGGTGTGGGTGCAGCGCTGGGCTTGCTGGGGGGGTCGGATGGGTTGGACCCCCACCCCCGGCTCTCCATGTGCTCTGTGGGGCAATGCCTTGCCTGGGCATGCAAGGGCATCGTGTTTTGGTCTCAGTCCTTGCCCCCCTCAGCTCTGTACCCGGACCCTGTGGTACCCACTGGGTACCTGGCAGGGGATGCTGTCGGCTCCCGCTCCTGCCCTGCAGGGAGGGCAGCGGGGACATGGTGGCTGAGAGAGGGGGGAGCTTGAGCAAGAGCCCTTGGCCAAAATTAACCAAACTGGAGGTTGTGTCTCCCAGTTTCCCCAGCTCCCAGTGCGGGAGAGGGCTATCTGAGTTGCAGGCTGGCAACTTGGTCAGTATTAGGGTTCTGCTCCCCCCAAGATGAGGAGCAGCAGAATGGCCCCAGGGGCAAGGAGGGGGCTGGTCTCCCCCCCTCGGCTCCCAGCCTTGCCATTTCCAGCCACTTAAAAATTAAAGGAGCCAATATCGCTGCACGGCTGGAATCGGTCACTGCCACAGAGCTTAATTGAGGTTATTTGTTGGGTCTACAAACATTTGGTCAGCTCTGCTGCTGGCTGCTTGGCTGCTTCCTGCAGCCCTTGCCCCAAGGAGGGGATCCCTCCAGGCTCTGCTGACAGTAGATGCTCTGCTTGGCTCTGGGCACCTGGAGGATCCTGGGGACCCAGCCAAACTTCGCCTGGTGTCAGTGTGGGGACAGAGATCGCGTCATAGCACTGTGCATCACTGAATCCCTTTGCCGACTGATTTTTGGGGCGGTTGCTTTCTGGGGGCGGAGGCAGCCCAGTGGCTCCTGCCACTGCTGCTGGCTGCTTGGCTGCTTCCTGCAGCCCTTGCCCCAAGGAGGGGATCCCTCCAGGCTCTGCTGACAGTAGATGCTCTGCTTGGCTCTGGGCACCTGGAGGATCCTGGGGACCCAGCCAAACTTCGCCTGGTGTCAGTGTGGGGACAGAGATCGCGTCATAGCACTGTGCATCACTGAATCCCTTTGCCGACTGATTTTTGGGGCGGTTGCTTTCGGGGGGCGGAGGCAGCCCGGTGGCTCCTGCCAGCCCAGCTGCCAGCACTCAGAGCAGCAGCTCAGCCCAGATGTTGGGCTGACGTCAGGAATGGAATCAGCTGGACTGGGAAGCACTAACGTGGCTGCTGAGCCTGGGCATGCACCAGCCCTGGCACCTCCTGGCCACCCAGAGTGAGCGGGGTGCGGGCACCTGCCTGGGCACCAGAGGTCACCACGAGGCTGGGGGCAAAGAAAGGGGGCCCTGCCAGCACCCGAAAGACTCTGAAGACACACATTAATGGAGCCAAACCCATGTGGTTGAAAACCCACCAGACCCCGGGCCCTGGGGGGACACACACAGGGCTGTCACTGCCCTGCCACCATCAAGCGTTTTGGCCACCCCAGTTGTGTACTCACAGCTCTGGGTGCTAGCAGGGAAATTCAGGTAAAACAGCCCCTCCAGACTTCAAACCAGCTGCTTTCTGCCCCAAACCTGCAGTTCTCACACTCTGCTGCAGGCCGCTGGTGGGACCTCAGCTCTTCCCACCGCTCCAGCCTCCAGTATGGGGACACCATGCAGTCTGCCCCAGGGACCACTGTGGGCAAGGAGGCCACCAAGATGGTCAGCGGCTGACCCCGAGATGACACCAGGGGTGCCCTGCTGCCGAAACAGCTGATCCGACACCCCTGGAGCCTCCTCCATCCTTGCACACACAACCCCTCCCAGTGCTTCCCAGAGCTCGCCTGGCAGCAGGGAGCCCGAGCAGCCACCACGCCACAGGGTTTTGTGGTCTGCAGGGAAACCGCCAAGTTTGGCAGGCAAAGATTATCCAGCAGTGAAAACACACTGTCCCTGTTCTTCCCTGCTCTCGGGGGTGGCGGGACATGCCCCCAGCCCGGGCTCGGGCAGAAGGCACATCTACGCCTCCATCCCAGAGTCCAGATTTGGGCCACTGGTGCGATTAGCCGCTAAACAGTGCCATCTCCTGGCAAAGCCACCGGCCACGCTGAGTTCTGCCACCGTGCAGGGTGGCCAGCGAAGGCACCACATGGGGCCTTGGGCACCCCTTAAACACCTTAACACCCCCGCATCTCTCCCAAATCCAGCCCTGCCTGCTCCACGCCCTCCCCTTGCCCCCTGGCAGCGGCTCTGCCTTGCTGGGCAGTGCTGTCCCGAGGGATGCAGGTGCTAAACTGTCCCTTGGGATGCTTGCAGGAGCCAGAGCATCCTCTTGACACCGGCTTTGGGTGGCTGCAGCAGGCACAGCTGGGATGGGGCAGAGCTTGGAGATGTTCACCTGCCGTGCTGGGCCATGTGCTTTAAACCAGAGCTGCAGAAGGGGCAAAACACCTTTGGCTTCCCTGCCGGTCCCCCTGCGCCATGGGTATCTCCCATGGGAAATGGATGGCTTCTTGGCAGGGGTCTTGGCAAGCCTGAGCTGAATGCTGGTCGTGTCTGGATGGAAACTGGCAGCACTGTAACCTTGCTCTGGTAGCGGGTAAACTGAGGCACAGAGCAACCAGGCATGGGGAACTCAACCAGAGCCAGGGAGAGAAGCAAGGCAGAGCAGCCAGCTACACGCAGGACTCCCAAAACTGTCCTCATCCCTGTCGGGGGGTGGCATTTTCCCTTGTGCCTTCTGCATGGCACCTCTTTGCCCTGCTGTTCTGGTTCAGGGAGAAAATAAAAAAAAAAAAAAGCAAGGCCACTTCCCTGCCTCCACCCAGCACTTACGCCCTCTGATAAACAAAATGGAAATAAATCCTCCTGCATTTGCAGCAAATAGGTCTCCACGGGGGGTTGCTTTCA